ACATACATTTTCAGATTTATTTTTCGCTATATGTGAAAATAGTTAGATGCCTTTAAATGATGATAATACTCTAACAATGAGTAAGCAAGAGATTTTTATAATTTTTCTCGTGTCTCATGGAACGCTTATTTCGAGATAAATTTATATTTAATACACACATACATACCTATACAATTTAATACATATTTAATTGAATATATTTAATATAAATAAATTTAAATTACGCATAAATAACGGAAGGGACATTTGGGACATATTTAATCCGCAAAGGGAATATGGGATCACATATGTCTTTGCGGTTTCTCTCTTTTATACACATGTAGCGTTTTAGCTGCTCGGCTATTAATCACAGCTTGATCTCTGTCAGAAAAAAAGGAGGTCGCGTCGTTTTCCGTGGGGGCTCATTATTCGCGCCGATTCGCATAATTCGGTTTAGGCCCGCATTAGGGGCCGACGTTTGTCCGACTTTGCTCGTAAAACGCTCGCGGAATTTACGAGTATTCTGGCCCTTTTTCCACGTCTCTCTCTATTTTTTCCTCCGTCTTTTTCTGGCTGTTTGCGAAAATTACTCGGAGGGAACAGTAATAATCGCGACATGCAATCACGCGACCTCCTTCGGTGTCACTCGCTGTACTGTCAGTTCAGTCTCTCTCCACGTGTGTTTAGCACACAGGTATTATAACGATCGTTCTTTTTTTATGGGAAATAACGCGCCTGGTCATTACGTGTCATTACAAGAGCTATTTATTTTTAAAATTGACGCGAAGCTCCATTTTGTAGATCTTATCAAGGTCGAGCGCGTTTCTCTGTATCTCTCGAATTAAATGTTCGCGATGCTTCAGAATTTAAATGTAAAATTCTTCCAACACTATATTGTGTCCCACGATTACCATGATTTTCAGTTTTTCAGGGCAAATTTTAAGAGAGAATTAATATATTAATATATTATTATATTAATGTTAATATAATAATATATTATAAATAAAATATTAAAATAAAAATTAAAATAAAAAATTAAAAGTATTATAACTATTATATTAATATATAATATAATAGTATGTTTATTATATTATAATATATAATTAATACATTTTATTAGATAATTATTTTTTCGATTATAGAAGCAATTATGAAATGATTTACCTTCGAATAATTAAATTTCCAAAAGAACCCTACGAATAAATAACGTTGATAAGAATAACACAAAACGTCGTTTCGCAATGATAGAAAGCCCCGAGCGCCCTTATTCTCAGTTTCAACATTTCGCGCAATAAATATCATTAGAATATTAATTAATTTACATCTGCGAGAAAGCCGCTCGTAGTTACACAGACTGACGGATGACTGATGGTAGGCGATAATGAAGATTTCAAAAATGTCGATATAACTTCGCGGGTTTCTCGATAAATAAAAAAAGTATCGCGTCAATCCGAGCTTGCGTTTAGAAGCGCGAAACAATGATTTTCTACCACTTGTTGCGAGAGAAAATTAGTTTCGCCCTCTCCTGTCCTCGTCATAAATGTCGGACGATGTGATAAAAAGGGATTAAGCGCGCGCGCGCGCAAAAGAATCTCTCTGTTTCTCTCTTGATTCTTCTTTTCATTCGAGGAACTTTACACCAGCGTTGGTGGAACTCGGTAAAGTGCTTATTGTGTTTGTAGCTTTCTCTTTTTACGGCGAGCAACCCCGGAGTTGTGAGGCGAAATAACGATCCCAGTCGGCCGCGAGATGTTTACTAGGACCGTAGGATTTCAGGGTGTTTAACGGTCAGGGAAATCTGGAGAACCGGGCATTGTTAGGGAATTTGATAAATCTGGAATTGTCAGTGAAAAGTGAGGAGATTTATCGAATGAATGTTCAGATTTTAATTTATCTATTATGAATCTATGAATTTAATTTATGATTGAGCTTTTATTTCTTTTAATGGATAATAAACGAACAGATTTTCCTCTAATTTAAAAGAAGAGCTTTTGGCAAAGATTTTAAATTTAATAGTTCTCAAAGCGAATAATTTAAACTATCAACTTAGATATTAGATAGCGAACCTCGAGATCAGTAAAAATTTTGATTGTCGGGAACGATAATTAGGAACATTGATACGGTTCACTTTCTGTGAAGGACTCCGTCTTGAATGACAGTAAAAAATGCGCCGCGAATGCTATGTAAGACTTTAATTCGTCAGTTATGAATCTACGAATTTAATTTATAATTGAACTTTAATTTTTTTAAATGGATAATAAACGCACAGATTTTTCTCTAAACCGTCAGTTTAAAAGAGGAGCTTTTGGCAAAGATTATAAATTAAATAGTTCTGAAAGCGAATAATTTAAACAGGGTATCTAGCGGTCAGGGAAATCTGGAAAACCGGACATTTACAGGAAATTTTATAAATCTGGAATTGTCAGCGAAAAAAGTCAGGAAATTTTACTATTTATCTGGATTTTTTCACATTATTCTACATTTGTCTCAATAATTTTTTATTAAATAAATATAAACTTTTCCTTGACTCCCAGCACTCTAATTTTTTGTTGTTAAAAATTAATCCATCTACAGCGTATTTGTTAATTTATATTTTCATCGTGTTATTTTATTTTAATGTGTCTGATAGAGACAAAAAATTTGATATAATATAAATAAAAAGACATTATTTAAATAGTGACATGTTTGTTACGATTATCGTACATAATGCAGATTGTATAATTGAATTAAATTTTTGTTTTAACTCCCGAACCTTTTTATTGTTGACAAAAATATCTCACGGATTTCATGATTTAATATTTAATTGATTTATCATATATTATAAATATATGCAAATTATAAATTTGGAAAAAGTAATACTAAAAAGTGAGGAAAAACATTAATTTCTGGTGTTGAAAAATCTGAAAAAGTCAGGTAATTAATTTTTTTCATTGAGTCTGCTAAACACCCTGACCATCAAAGATTTCATGATTTAACATTTAATTGATTGATCATATAGATATATGCAAATTATATATTTGAAAAAAGTAATACTAAAAAGTGAGGAAAGAAATTAATTTCTGGTCTTGGAAAATCTGAAAAAGTCAGGTAATTAATTTTTTTCATTGATCTGCTAAACACCCTGACCCTCAAAGATTTCATGATTTAACATTTAATTGATTGATCATATAGATATATGCAAATTATATATTTGGAAAAAATAACACTAAAAAGTGAGGAAAAACATTAATTTCTAGTGTTGAAAAATCTGAAGAAATAAGGGAATTTTTTTTCATTGCGTCTGCTAGACACCCCGGATTTTTTTACCGCTTCTCGAACTTTGAAAATGACCTCGAATAGGGTCGGATGTGCTCTCCAGCGAACCCGATATTAGCCGCCTGAATTACGTGCTCTCTCGCGTGAAGATCTCTAGTATATGCCGGGCCGTTTAGAAGCTGATTAATCTAAGGGTTATTGCTTAGATAATGCGTCTCGCGACGTATGTATGTAATACGGCTGCGCTTAATCGTGACCATTGGGGCATTGTTTGCGGATAGCTACTATCGTCACGCCTGCCGGTTTCGCTTGTCGTGCCTATAGCCCGTTTTGCATTCGATAACGATACTACGAGCGGGCCCCGAGGCGCACCTGAATTTACGGAACGTGCGTGCGATAACGCGGCGGACGTTTTTACGGCCCGCATATATGTACGAAACTTTGAGGTCATAAAAAAAAAAAAAATACTACACTTATGTGGCAACGCGAAATGTTGGTCGACGAAAAAAAAATTAGCTAGCTTAGCTAATTTAGCTGTCATGTTACAACCTGAAATTTAGTTATCTTGTCTAAATTTTATACACATATGGCAACTAATATTTTTTAACTATAGTTTAACAGAGAATTCTATGGGTGAAAATATTAGCAAAATTATATACGTTGATCTTTTTCGCTAAATATTTTGATATTTGTACGACAAATTCACCATTCTGACATTTTCTCGCAAAAATATATACATATTTTTCCTCCCAGCGCTGGAAACAATTTCTGGGCACGGTTTTTTATCGCAAGATTAACCTAGTCATCCAATTCTGAGGTTTATTTAGCGAACACGAGATGAAAAACTAAAGGACTTAACGTATTAAATTTATATGAGAGACCGAAGAACGATGTGCTTAGTATACCTCATATTATTCTTAATAGCGTCATTTATTTGTGGGTTTTTTTTGGAAATTTTCCCGAGAGTTATTCGAAGGTTTTTTGGAAGATAAATTATTACACAATAGCTTCTATAATCGAAAAATAATTATCTAATAAAATATATTATTGTAGTTATATATTTTACACATTAATATATTGTTATATATATATATATATAAATGTATTGTTATATTAATATAATATATTATTATATTAATATTAATAATTGGCTTTCTCTCTTTCTCTCTATTACTTTTCATTTCTCTCCTATATTTTTTCTCTTTTAGTCGCGATCGAAAATTATAATTATAAAACCGAACATGTTTTTTTCTGATATTTTTTCCTAATATTTTTGATACCAAAACTTTTGTCCGATATTTCTAATTATGCAATGCGCTCATAATTTTAATTGATCTATATGTATTAAGTGTTTAAAAATGTTTACGTACAGTTATAGATTATAGCTATAATTAAGTAAATTTGATTAGTTGTCATCAGATTTGCTTGCATAAAACATCGATATGCATTTCGATATTTGCGACACTTTGTACTATGCAGTTTGAAGTTATTTATGTAATACAATATAAATAATATAATAAATAACAAATCTACAGTATTAAAATTATTTTATACAATATTAAACAATTTTTCTTCTATTACTTTTGTCGTTTAAATATTCGGATTTAATTTAGATATCAAAATTTCACGATTTAGCAGATTCTGAAAATATTGATAAAATATAAGTTATGCAAAAAATCGAAAAACTATTTGTATGTGTTATTATAAACATCTTTAAACGCTTTAGTTCAACGTCCTCCACATTTGCTATTTATTTGCCTGTTCAGTGTAAAATCTACCCATAAGAGCGAACAGCAGTTAGTAGCAGTAACAACTGAGAAGAGATAATAACAGTGACAACAGTTATTAAATACGAAGGGGACTAAAAGCAAAAGGCGAGTTCTAGAAGAAAAAAGTAAGAAAGTTAAATATAATATTTATATATAAACATATAAACAATATCTCTTTTATATATTTAAGCAACAAAAATTAACTGATAAAATATAACGTTAATTAAAATTAAATTAATAAAAAAAATCGAGTTTTAATAAATTTCAACTGTAAAGACAAAAAGCTTTAAATAAGAAAATCTATAAAAACATAAGTTATTCATATGAATGTAATTAATTAACAAAACATTTATTTATTTTTTTTTATCTTTGGATTTTAATTGTCAGTCACATAAACTTCTATATATTACAAGTAAATTATTAGACCGCTAGTCATTAGTATATTTCTTATTTTTATATGTATTTGATATTTTTTACTGCTTTACTGAATGTTAATTATGACAGCAGATTGTGATCAAAATAATTCCAATTACAAATAAAATTCAAAAAGAAAATAATAATCACTCAACTTTACAAAAAAAATTTTAATGTATAAATCAAAATTACTTGTTTAGAAAAATTATCTTTATTTCCAGCTGCACAAATAAAAGATTGTAGCAAATAATCAACAAACCAAGTGATTTAAATTCAAACCGAAAAGACAAAATATACAAGCAGAGACTATGAGTGAAGGAGAGAGTGGTCAGAAGAAATCCCAGCCTCCAGTAAAAATTAATAATTTTAAATGCTCAAATTGTGGTGAAACTTTTAGCACATACAGTGAGCTCCTGAAACATATACGTAAAGTTCATTTGACTTCTCAGTCAGCAACTAATCCGAAAGGACAGAAAATCATACAGGGAGAGACCATGAGTGAAGGATCAGACTATGAGGAGAGTGATGAGAAGAGGATCCTGTCAGATAAAACCATACTCGATCTCAGCAATCTCAGCAAATATGGATGCAGAAAATGTTCTGAAACGTTTCAAAATCACTCTGAGCTCCTAGAACATATACGTTCTACTCATAATGATGTTTAATTCATTATTCATTAATTACAAGTCGAATTAAAGAAGCAATGAATATCTCGCATCTACTAAATCAATCATGATGATCGACAGCGACTTATTTAATTTTATTCTCGCACTCTTTTCTTTCCTTTTTTGGTTTGTAAAATCCGATATTAATTTTTTAACATAATGACCACGCGTCCAATTGTATGATAGCTTATAACTTCGATCTATAATGTATACGCGACACATTTAATACGCAGAAAGAATTTTGTTTTAAAATTTATCGTGAAATTCATGACAATCATGGGATAATAACAAACAGCAATAATTTTATAAACGTTTTTTTGATTAATATTTTTATTATAATAACAAGTATTAATATCTTTTACAATTAGATATAAAAATGTTTGATCAATTTTACTAAGATATATAGTAAAATATCGAAAATTTTTAAATATCTGCAAAATTATATTATATATTTATAATTCTACGTGTTTTAAATGGAAGATAGATACTACTAAAAATTATGACGATACCAAATATTTTATATAAATTTTACATAGTAATGTAATATTTTCTATCAAATTTAATTATGATAATTTTAACACGCAGCATGGTAATTTTCGACTTATTACTACCAAACTACGCGATAAAATATGTAATAAATTTTATGGTTAAATATAACGAAAAATTTTTTCCGTGTATGAATTACCATATGTATATGAATACGTATATGCACATTAAAAGCAAGTTTCAGTAAATCATTATTTTCTTTATGCCTTTATTCCTCTTTCTAGTATTGTTACATCCGTAAATCTCAAAGATCTCTCAAACGAATAGAATGTTGCAAATGTAGAATTCGAGAATAAAGTATCTGGTATTAAAGTAATAAAAAAAGTTGTGTGAAACTGTCAGAACAAATCAATACCAATCAATCAAAAATCATATAGCTATTTGCTTTCCGCGCTTGTTTATTATATTTTATCATTAATAAAAAATGCAATAACATAAAAATTAAATTATGCAATATTTAAAATATGCTTTTTCTTATATATTATTTTTTGACGCTTGAATATTCTGCTTTTATAAAGATACCGAAATTTAACGACTTCGCGGATTCTCAAAATATTCTGTTTATTATATGACTAGGTTATGAAGCAAATCGAAGAAATATCTGTGTGTTATATTATAAATATTTTTAAGCGCTTGAGTTAAATGTTTTCCACATTTGCTATTTATTTGCCTGTTCAGTGTCAAATCTATCCATAAGCGAACAGGAGTTAGGATCAGTAACAACTGAGAAGACATAATAACAGTGACAGTCGTTATTTAATACAAGAAGAACTAAAAGTAAGCGAGTTTTAGAAGAAAAAGTAAGAAAAAATTAAATATATTTATATATATACATATAATACAATATCTTTTTTATTTATTTAAACAACAAAAATTAATTGATAATATATTTCGCGAATTTAATTTTAATTAATAAAAAAATTGATTTTTAACAAATTTCTACTGCAAAAAAGAAAAACCTTTAAATAACAAAATCTATAAAAAACATAAGTTGATCATGAGTGTAATTAAATAACAAAACATTTATTTGAAATTTTTGTTTATTTTTGGATTTTAATTGTCATCATATAAACGTCTGTATATTACAAGTAAATTATTAGACTGCTAGTCATTAGTATATTTCTTATTTTCATATATTTGATACTTTTTACTGTTTCAATTTTACTGTAAGATGTGTATTTATTATCAATGTCTTATCAAGAAGAACGACATATCTAAATCTGTCGAATTAGATATCGCTGCCCTTACATCACATTTCACCGTATAACCCTTAGATACGTTTTGGAATAATACATAGAAGTCTGTGATTTTTCATGTTTCAAAACACAATCTTGTACGTTATTCATTTCAAGTCATATGCAATTTTAATGAATATAATATCTCACATTCGATCAATTAAATTATTAATATAGAACAGAAAGTTAATTATGACAGCAGTTTGTGATGACAATAATTTCAATTACAAGTAAAATTACAAGAATTAATTTCAAAAGAAAATAACAATCACTCAACCTTATAACAAAAATTTTTAATTATATAAATCAAAATTATTTGTTAAGAAAAATTGCCTTAATTTTCAGCTGCACTAATAAAAAATTGTGGCAAATAATCAACAAACCAAGTGGTGTAAATTCAAAACCGAAAAGACAAAATTTCATACAAGCAGCGACTATGACTGAAGGACAGAGTGGTCAGAAGAAGACCCCGCTAATGAATAAAAGCCAGAAGAATACCGTCAACATGACCGAATCCAGTATACTACTCGTATTTACATGTCCATTTTGTGGTCTGCAGTTTACAAATTACAGTGACTACAGATCGCATCTAGTTACAGTTCATGGAAGAACATTTGATCTAATTCATATTTGATTTATTATTCATTAGTTACAAATCGTATCAAATAAGCAATGAACATCTCGCATTCACTAAATCAATCATGATGACCGATAGCGATTCTCACACTCTTTTCTTTCCTTTTTCGCGGTTTCTAGAGTCCGATATTAATTACTTAATATACTGACAATGCGTTCTGTTGCACAATAGCTGTTAACTTTGATCCATACTGTATAAGCGACATATTTAATATACAGAAAGAATTTTATCGTAAAATTTATCCTGAAATTCATGTCAATCACGGGATAATAATAGACAGCAAGAATTTTATAAACGTTTTTTTGATTAATATTTTTATTATAATAACAAGTATTAATATCTTTTACGATAAGAATCAAAAATTTTTAAATCTCTGCAAAATTATATTATATATTTATAATTTTAAGGGTTTTAAATGGAATAGATACTAAAAAAATTATGACGATACCAAATATTTTATATAAATTTTACATTGTTGCATATTTTCTATCCAATTTAATCATTCATGATAATTTTAACATGCGGCATGGTAATTTTTGACTTAATACCACAAACCATAATACATGTAATGTTTTTTATGATTTAATATAGCGAAAAAATCTTTCCGTGTATGAATTGTCATATGTATATGAATACGTATTTGTACATTAAAAGCAAGTTTTAGTAAATTATTATTTTTTTTCTATGCCTTCATTTTTCTAGTATTGTTACATCCGTAAATCTCGAAAATCTCCCAAACGAATAGAATGTTGCAAATGTAGAATTCTAGAATATAGTAGTTTTAAACTAAGAAAAAATGTTGTGTGAATCTGTCAGAACTAATTAATATCAATCAACATTCAAATAGTTATTTATTTTTCGCGTTTGTTCTTTATATTAAATTATTAATACATATGTAAAAAATGCAACACCATAGAAAATGTTTTATATAATTAAAACATTTTTTTCTTATATATTATTATATATTTTTCGTCGATTAAGTAAAATGTTCTGCTTTAATATTGAAATCTAAATTTTACAATTTCAATTTTACAATTTTACATTATATTGATTTTCACGATAAATTCTAAGAGACAATTGTATCCGTATAATATATCAATATTAATATTATATTCACATTTATCAAAGGTATGCAGTTTGCAATATAAATTATTTTAAAGTATAGCTTTCTTCATAATATTACGAAAAAATAATTATCTAATAAAATATATAAATATTAATATAATATCGTATTATTATCATTATATAAAGCATAATATATTTTATAATAATATTAATATTAATATAACATTCACAATTATTGCAAAATTCCCGTACGAATGAACTTATCATGAGGGTTGACATTTCCGCTGTCAGAAATGCGTGTCTCAGATACGCACGTGTCAGTCCTTTCGGGCGGGAAGGGTTGGTGGGTTTGGGGTGGACGAGAAACGGAGGCCAACCCAAGATCCGACGGGTCGATGGGCAACGGTTCCGAGTTATTGATCATCGCTGCATCCGATGCATTCGGTGCATCTCCGGCCGCGCCGCAGGTGAATTCGTCAACTCAGCGTGCGTTTCGCGGCCTCAGATTTTTTCTCGTCTCTATCGCACGAGAGAAATGGAAATACGAGCCCCTTGCGCGTCTTTACTATCCACATTACACCCTCTTGTTACCCTCGAGTCGTCTCTCGCTCGGCAATTTTTATTTCTCCTCTCGTCGGCAGTTTTTATCCGCCTCGAGGAAATGAGAAGACACCTCTCCCGTGGAAAAAACTACGTCGAACGAGACGCGCGAAACCTTTCGTATCTCGGGATGGATGTTTCGGGGGTGAAATGCAAATTGCGTGGGATGAGAAAACTCTGCGTTTCGAATTATATCGCGAAATACGTACGCAAATAAAAATGTAGGACAGTGTTGTATTATTTTGTTTACAGAGTATACTTTCGGGAATAATTTTTAAATTCTGGTATTCTCAGGAAATTCTGGAAACAACTTTGAAAAATCAAGAAATGAGTTTGCTAGGGTTTTAGGGAATTTTTTGATAATTTTATTCTCAAGAAATAATATGTCTATTATATGTATTTCTTTTCATATTTAAATTATTATTCTAATTTTTCTTGTCATTTTTTGAATAAATAATTTATTCAAGAATAATTTAATAATAAATTTGACGAATAATTAATTTAAATAAATTAGTATTCCTTAAGATATTTACAATTATTTTTTGTTTTATATTTGTGTCTTATATTTTTGCATATACTTTTAGCGTTTAGATACAGTATTATTGTCTAAATTAATTTTACAATTAATATATTAATATTAAATGTTAAAAAACCTGCATCGTTAATAACTTTGCAATTGTATGAATAGGAAACATTACAAAGCACAATAAACTTATCTAAAAAAATTGCATCTATAAAAATTTACTTCTTTTATTTGAAATTTCAAACAAAAATCTGAAGAATCAGGGATTTCATAATTTTTTTAACAAGATTTTAGTAGACACTTTGTATATTGCATAATTATATTTTATTATCGCGACATTAATTTGAGTATTTTTTTAATCTCACATTTTATTTGAAATTTAAACAAAAATCTGAAGGATCAAGGAATTCTTAGGGAATTTTTTTACAAGGTTTGAGTAGACATCCCGTACAATGCATAATTGTATTTTATTATCGCGCTATTAATTTGGATAATTTTTTTTTTTCAATCTGACTGATGAAGTGCGGTTAACTTTTCTGCACTTGTGCGGACATGATGACGCTTGATGTCACACGGGTGGGTGCTTTAACGTCTGATCGTTCTCGCGCTCCACGGATTCTATTCGATTTGCTTGCGTTTTGACGCACGTACGCGACCAGCTGTGTACAAAATGAAAAATGCAAAACCCGTACGGGACGTGA